GCAGCTACCCCACGGTCCCCCCAGTGGTGGGTGTGGCCCCGGGGGGCGTCCGGGGTGGGGCACAAAACCCCATTTTTGGGGTTTAGCCCACGGGGTGCGCGCTCTTGCTGCACACCCCCCACTATTTTTTTATTTTTTTATTTTTTTTTTGGGGGGGGTGTACGGAGCCAGGGTTGGGGGTGCCCACCCCCAGACCCCCCCGGACCCCCGCGGGGGCCCCGGCCCGGGCCGGGGCCCGGGCCGGGGCTCGACAACCCTGGCCCGCCATAGATGCGTGTAGGCGCAGAGGGCCGTTGAAAAGATGCAAGGTACCTGTAGGGACAATATGATAATTATTATTATAATGATAATTATCATATATTGGATATCTATAATATGATCTGGATGTTTATACCATACAAAATATGTTTAGAACAAGTATTGTAAATAGACTCAAATTGTTGCTGCTGTTTGGTAGGGGCATACTGGAAATTTGGTAGCAGTACTGGTAGGGGCAAATTGAACATATCTCAGGCCCAAACGAGGCCAGGGGTTTTTCGGAAACTTCAATCGCTGTCAGAGGGGAAAATCAGGGCAACTCCGCCATCAGAGGGGTAGTGTTCAAACAAAGGCAACTTTCAGGGGCATTTCAAAAATATTCCCAAAACGTTTTTTGTGCATAGGCCTGGAAAAGTGTTTTGGGAAACTCGTTCTGATGTCGAAGACTTTCTTTCCGGTGAGCATCTTAACGGCTCCTCCTTGTACTACTGGAATGTATACAGAAGACAATTCCGGTCAGATACAGATATGATGAGCCTGCATCTGGTATCGAAAACGAGGAGCGTGCCTGACACTGAAGACAACTGTGCTTCCCGTGACATATTGGCTGTATGTTTGCAAGACAATAAATAAAGAGGAAAAAAGAATAAAAAAGTTGATTCGCGCTTTCCTCTAATGTATGCAGTTGACGAATTGGGGCCGATACAGGGTTTGCGCTGTGCTTGAAAGTTGTGCTTCATGTGGCTGCATTTCAACAGCTCAGTGGTGCACCAAGTGAACTAGGCCCATTGGTGCCGTGCTCGTGCTTCATGTGAGCTTCCAGAAGGGCTCTTTATGTAGAGTAATGGATATATACTAGCCATGTTCTCGTCAGATACAGAAAGTCTGCTTCCTGTGAATGGTGAGGGTTTGATGGCCCTATGCCTTACAAGATATTGATTAAAAAAAAGAAAAAACGAAAAGCACTCGTCAGGTTGTCAAATGTGTCATCAGACCATCGATGGATCATGATGCTCTGCCTTCCATTGAATCTCCATAACAGGTCCTTTTCTTCTTCAAATGTATACAAGTGACTATTCTTTAAAGATACGTTTATGCGGAGGTTTTCCTGCTGGGAGTGACAGTTGTGTGCTGGATTTACATGCGGCTGCTCCCATTGAAGATAATATCTCAAGGCCGCCGCCCTATTCTTTTTTTTTTCTCTCTGAGTGTGTGGAGCACTATGTGCGCGCCAGGGGAGTAGCGTCGTGCTGTGCGCGCTGTGCATATGCGCCTGATGCGTACGGTGTGTGCACATTGTTGCGATTTTTTCAGCCAGGCCACTTTTGGCGACCGAAAATACAACAGGCTGTCACGCAGGATTTTTGATGAATTGTCTTATTAAATTAATGATAAATAATGCAAATCTCTTCTTGTTGTGTGCGTCCAGCTTCGAGCGAAACCCTTTAATTACGGTTTACGCCAGTCCTCGGTCTTAGGAATCTTTGATTCTTATTCGGAAAAGCGAATGCAATTATGGAAATAGTAAGTGAAATAAAATGTATAGCACATCATGATTGTCAAATTTAAGAATTTGAGAACTTCGACAGGATCAGCAGAGAGCATAACATCAAGCAATGCCATTGAAAACGAATCAGGACCGACAGACTCAAGAGAAAGATAAGATGAATGAGGGAAGGTGTGAGCTGAAAAATAATGCGGGAAATACAAATGAAAAGACGTGGCCAGTACTCGCCAGGAGCCCTCACTCATCCCTCTCAAGTCTCATCCTCAGTCTCTCTTTTGATCGTGCGTCTGGAGTGTTTGAGCCACGTCTATGTACTTTCTGAGATTGTGGCCTAGTGATATAGAGACACCTGAAAGCCCATGAGTTCCGAGTAAGACCGTCCAAGGCCAAAGATTTGGAAATCAAGCATAGCACAAAAGTCCTCGCACAAAGTAGGAAGATAGAAAGAAAAAATAAAAATAAAAAAATAGATCCCTCGTCGAAGATGGTCAAACCCGGACTCGGAGGGCTTGGTCATTGCCTCGTAGTCATTCTCTGACGGTGAGACATACCTCTTGGTTGCGCCAACCAAATCCAAATCACCCCACTAAGAACCATCAATCAGGTAGAAAGGGACTGAAGGCCTAGGGTAGTCAGTGTATAGCTTAGGGCCAAATCTATGAATCAGCTTTGTATCCCTCTTGAAGCACACACGCCCTCTCTCGAACGTATCGAGTCACTATAACCCAAATTGAGTTGAGATGCATACGAGTCTCTTTCCCCTTTTTCACATAGATCCTCAAGTCTTGAATAATTCCTTCAGCAAACTTTGTGAGGACCACGAAGATTGGCAAATCTCCTTCTCCGAGACCAAGAACACTGACATGTTGATGATGATGAAAGACATTTTTAGAAGCAGTCTCGTTATGCCCAGTCAAGACTGACTGATTGGCAGAAAATGAATTAATAGTATTCATGTGCTGAGAAGAGTACTATAATTGATTTGAACTTTGGAGAAGCCAGATCAAGAGCGATCAAGAAAATATTGGTGATAATTTCACTGAATGAATCTCTCTGAAGAGAGCACTGACTAATTAATATTAATACGAGAGATGAATGAGTTACAAAACTTACACTAGATCCTGACCGAGGATCACTGATGAGGTTTTAGGTGTTTGAAAGCAGTCGAGGAAAGCTAGCCATTGATCGTCGACCACTGACAACAGAATGATGAAAAGGGTTCTGAATTATAGGATGATACTCGCTGAATGATTCACTTTCTTTGAGAGAAAAGAGTTTGAGAATAAGTACTTTCTCGGTCTCACCTGAACTACGCCCCGGCCTGCTCATCTAGAGATGAGCCCGTGCTGTGCAGTTTGCCATTGCGATCATGGAAATAGAAAACATATTCTATGTACTTCTCACCAATTCTCCGGACCGCCTGCTCTCTCATAACTAGTTCATGAAATTTTATGTCCTAAGCGGTTTTCGCCGGTTTCCATTTTCCATCCCTCATGCTTGTTGTCTTCATTGATTCTACGTCTCATCACTAAAATATTTTCATCTCTCGTGATCTATGCCCTACTTAGAGATTTGGCTTTGACAAGAAGCGAAAAAAGTAAAGTGATGCCCAATAGCCAGATAAACTCTACACACTAATGGAATTAGCGGTTTTCCGGCTTATGATTATCAAACGCTTTGTTCGAAATAATTTACAGAAAACTCTTGCAATGCGTCTGTCATTATGCTACCACTTTTCATATGTAATCCAAAGTGTTGCACCGCACAATCATTACTTGGTCCACTACATAGGGTCGATCGTGCACCGTCCCTATTTGTATTCGATATCGAGATGACGCTATGCGCTGCCCCTGTTCACTTATAACATGGTGCATGTATCATGGAATCTCTATTCGAATACTATGTTAGAAAAACTGCTCTCAATTTTTCACTCATTCAAACACTGCACGAAGTAGCATTGATGGTAATTCCTGTTAGATTACGACGCATGAAAAAAAAAAAAAAAAAAGATTACGACACATGATAATGCTGGTGATCAGTGATCGCAACTCCCGCTCATATATAACTCTGAATACCGCTAGACACAACGTTTGCCCGTACACAACACAGGGTACGGCAACCGATAAACTTTATTCAAACAGTGAACGGAGTTCAGTTAGCAGTAAACACTATTCAAATAAAGCCCCGATAGTCTCAAACAACAAGTCGTGTCCGAATAAAACAGAAGATAATATTGGCGGTCGTCCCTACACGAATAGCACTAGGCTACTAGCAGTAGATCCCACTTGAATATTACACTGAGTACTACTTATAGTAAGTTCCCCTTCGATTTTTACACAGAGTACCAATAATAATAATAATAATAATAATATAATAATACCGGTTCGAACATTAGGCAAGGTACGACTAGCGGTAGATCCCTCTCAATTTAACGCACAAGATAAAATTTGAACCCCTGCTAGTATATTAGTAATAATATTACACATGATTCGAATGAATGTGGCAACGACTTATGTTCCGTGTAGAATGTGGCTGAGCACAGGACTTGTTCGTATACAGTACCGGGTGCTGTTGAAATTTAGCCTCCGCTCTTTGCTACTCGCAGTGACACTTGGTACAACTCTCGCTCGTGTAGCACACTGAGTACGACTCGCATCAGTCATGACTCCCTCTGCCTGAGCGACAACGAAGGATTATCATCCTAGTGGCTCTCTTTCTCCCTTTTTAACTTCCTGGATTAGTCCCACGTGATTAGAAGAGAACAAAATCCTAGTGGCTCTCGTATTTTGTTCTCTTCTAATCACATGGGACTAATTAATCCAGGAAGAACCCCTTTTTAACTTCTCGACTTTCGTAGGCAACTCGTGAACCTTCTCAAAGGGGGAGGATGCAATCCTTAGTGTTTTAATCGGAGATAATATTCATTTATAGCATTTCGGACTTCACGGAACATAGTAACATACTTGAAATTTATCTTAATAAAGTAGGACAAACTTGCTAATGCTCTAAGCCTTAAAAGGTATTTATTTCTGAAATTCGGTCTATTGCAACGACAAGTTTGCAATATTTCCAGAATTCATGATTATAGTATCATTATACTAAAAAAAAAAATTAACGCAGTCCCCCGGGTCGTGTACACAGGTATCGGGAACTTCAGTCACCATCTAGTAGATACTTAGCCCATAAATAAGCTATTTTCTGCAGTACAAGCATTTTTTACCCATTAACTGTAATGGAGAGTCAGAAAATCGCACTTGAACTGAGCTCGTTTTTAGTGCTAGCTCGTTTGATCTCGCTGGTTGCCGGTGCTTTCTTCCTGTTACAAAGAATGGAGTAAAAAAAAAAAAAACACGCAATATGAATAGCTTAAGGTAGTTTAAATACTCTTCATGACCGAAGTCCACTCCCGAAGCGTATTTGAATTAAATGAATTTAAATCACATCAGTGTTTATCGACCACTTTTCGTCAAGGGTTTCCAAACAAGATCATAGATGTTTCCTACTTATACCTTTCTCATTTGTACGTAATTAACAACACAGAAAAAACTTTGCATTTTTTACCTCATAGATTTCGTTAATTGCCCCGAAAATCAAAGAACAAGAGTAATTTACTAATTTTGTCTCAAGCCAGTTAACACTATAGACTCAATAGTCGCAGATTCACAGGGGCAAGCGGAAACATTAAAACTTAATTAAAAAGTGATTATGACCATTACCAGATGATGACCATAGGCAGTCGTGAGAACCCACCAACCTCAATAATTGACCTGTTCTAATATCGCAGAGTAATCAGTCACAAGTGGATCGGAGCCGTCAACCTGGTGGTGGTCCCTCTCTATGTAGCAAGGTGAGTCCTATCCCTGCTAGGCGGTGTTTTTTTCCTTCCTGTTCCCCGGGAAGAAAAGACAGGATGGGTGCAAAAGAAAAAAAAAAAATAACAATAAAAAAAAAAAGGATGGGCATGGGTGCTTGCAGCATGCTCCCGATGTGCACACTCTGTCCGAGGCATGAATGCGAATTGAAAATGTGTCAGCAGGCCATATACTCTGGAATATGCTGCAAGAAAACTGTTTTCTTCCTTTTAGAGTTGCCACCGCGAGGCATAATAAAAAAAGGGGGAAAGATAAAGGGAGACGTCATGACTACTGGTGGGTATGTGGGACCAACGAGTACTTGGGGCATTGTCCGGTGTCCGAACCATCCGGTTTTAGAGGACATGCATGGCTGGGCTGAAGCAACAGAGGTTGTTATAAAACCTGTTAAGTTCCAAAAGGGAGCCTAGGGGGGTGAGGGGTTGCGTTACATTTCAGAGGCAAGTAAATACCGCTAAGCCAGACCAGAAAGCCTCCGCATGAGGGCCAATACACAACCCCCTCCCCAACCTCTCTTCTTCGAGAACGAAAAGAGCACCAACATGCCTGCATGTGCACAACCCGCCCTCTTCCCTTTTGCCCTCTGTTCCTGTCTGCTCTGGCCAGCGCAAACAAGAGAAGCCTGTGAGAAGAATTACCAACAACGTGCGTGAAGTTGTGAACACTGACATGCTGGAGATGGCTGCGACTATAGGTTCTGTTCTCGGCTACTGCTTCTTTATCCTTCTGCCTTCTCGTCTCTTCTTTCTCCTCCGTCCACACTCTTTTCTACGGGTGGGTGCCGCTACAGGTTCGGTTCTCGCCGACTGCGTCTTCATCCTCTTTTCTGCTGGTGGTCATCCTTGTGAAGCTCCTCCTCTCCTCTTTCTCCTCCTTTCATGCATTTTTCTCTGCCCTGTGGCTCTTTCTCTCCTCCTCTCCTCCTCCCTCCTCCCTCCTCCCTCCTCCTGCTCTTACAACCCAGGGAGTCAGATCTTGGCAGCGGCACCCAGATGAAGCAAGAGGGGTCGCAAGAGGCACCTTAAGAAAAAGGAAATTGTGGCTGGTTAAGAGGGGGGAGTATGAAACACAGGGATGGTCTATAACCACGAGCAGGTTGCAGAGAATTCTAACAGCCTTGGACACCCAAATGCACAAATTTGGCCAACCTAAAAAAAAAAACAAAAAAACAAAAAAAAACGTGGCGACAGACAACTTGTGTCTAGTACTGACTACATCTTCCCACAGCGCACCCTGATTTTGAATGCATACAAATATTATAAAAAGATAGCTTTTCTGGTCCAAGACGGTTGTGCTGAGGGTGCGTTATGCTCACCGGAAGACGGTAAATAAAGAGTAACAAAAAATGAAATCATCACTGCTTCTTCACTGCGGCCTCATTTGAATCAACATTGAATTGATTCTTCAGACCAAATTTGCATCTCTCTTTTTTCTTTTTTTCTTTTCAATCACGTACCCGTGTTGCCTGATGATTGATGGCAGAGCAAGAATGACTCTGTGCTGTGAGCTAATGGCGACATTGTCACGCACGGTAATTAAGTAATGGCGCATGAGCACAAACAAACTCGGGCAAGGGAGAGACAAACAGAACAAATACTTTGCGCTCAAGAGAGCAGAGACGAAGCAGAGAGAAGG